TCCCAAGATTATCTTTAATGTGGTCATTAATCTTTTACCTTTTTTTTTTGGTACCAGGGATTGAACTCATGACTGCACGCTTGTAAGGCAGGCGCTGATGCTGCTGAGCTAAACCCCCAGCTCCTTACCTAAATATTTTAGTGAGGAATATCCTATCTCAAAAGATGGTTTTAAAAGTTACAATTATGAGAATATTACATACACAAATTTCTTTTTACTAAAACTAAATTTGTTTTCTTGTAACTTCTTCCAATTGTTTGTCAGTCCTCTCATGTAAAACAGTAACTCTAATTGCTCTACTTCAATATTTCTAAAATATCTAGGAGCAGGGACCCAATAATTTAAGTCTTCTCTGAATAAGCCCATAATCTTTAGCTCTGTGTCTTCCAAAACCTCATCAGTTCTGTTCACTTTCCTTGGGACCCTCATTTCTTTGTCATTGGCTTTTATAAAATAATGCCTTCCAGAGTTGATATTCATCATGAATCATTTCCTTTGGGTCCAGTGGAATGTTCCTACGTTATCTTGAATGATGCTTCTTTTAAAGTAAAGTAGCATTGCATCACCTTTGTGGATATACTTTGTCATTAGTCCATATTGGACCTGCAGTAAAGTAAACCTTTTTTCTTAATTTACACAGAAAACATTTTTAGTGTTTCCCCATTCTGGATTCAATTAGTTTTATTTTTATTTGTCTTATTTTTTATTCAATCTATTAGAATTCATTTTTGCTAGTTTCCAAGTTACAGTTTCTCATTTAACTTTTATTCTGTTACTATACCTCGCAATTACTACTAATGTACTCCTCTGATAGTAATATAAAATAGATAAGTATAATTTCTATCATAATTTAAATAATAAAGTAGTAAGAAGATAGAATCTATGACTGCCCCAAGCAGCCCAGTAAGGGCCAGAGAGAAGCTGGAGGGGAGAGAGTAGGCTCAGTGGTAGAGTGCATGCTTGGCTAGGTTCAATCCCTAGCCCCAAATGCAAAGAAGAAAAAAATAAATAAACCTGAAGAAAAACACAAAAAGACCAGAGGAGGGGTAAGTGGGCAAGCTGCGGCCGCTCCAGGGCGAGAACCACCCAGCGTCTCCCGAGATCCGAGCCATGTTAGAACTTAGGGTGCTGGGAAACCAAGCAACCAGCCCACCTCCCTGTACATGGCCGTGAGCGCACCCCCCCACCCCCCCGCAAATGGGAGCCAGAGATCTGATCATCTCTTCAGAAGTTGACCATAATACAATATAGCAAATAAGGGGGATTTCCTTCTACCATGTCTTTGAAGGTAAATATTTTTATCACTGTTTTGCTTTGTTCTGATTAATGGTATTGCTCTATTCAATGTTCTGTTTTGATAAATTCTTTTTTTCAAAAAAATTTTTTTTAACTTTATCGGCACTGGGGATCGAACTCATGACTGCATGCTTGCAAGGCAGGTGCTTATGCTGCTGAGCTAAATCCCCAGCCCCTGTTTTGATAAATTCTATATTCTGTATTTCACTTGATTTTGCTATACCTGATTGAAAGAACAACTATCAAAATAATAAATAATTAAAAAAAAAAGAAAAAGAACAGAGGAGAGAAAGGGTTTATAGCTCAGCGGCGTACGTGCCTGCTTGGCAAACATGAAGTTGTGAGATCAATCCCCGGTACCAAAAAAAAACAAAAAACCACAGAAAGTGGTTTTAGAACAAATTTGAAAAGAAAGTTAAGTTTGTGCTTTTCTTTCCTTCTTGAATTCAACTGAAAAAATGAATTTATTGTAAGATAAAGGTAGGGACTTAGATTTTTTTGCATGGTGAAGTCTAGTTTGTATATAAGAAAGCCTAGAAGGAATTGATAGTTATACCCCCTTTTAGAATCAGAGTTTTCTAAGTTTATTAAGATTCTTTTATGGCTACATATAATTTATAAGTGATGTTTCTTAACTGGACAAAATTTTAGAGACGTTATGTAATTTAGTGAGTTAATCAGCATGTTTTGGTGACTGTACTCTATTACCTAGTTTTTAAACTAGAAAAGCCAGAAGACTGATATTGAAGGTTACAGGTGCTTCATATAAACAGGGTGCTCCTAATTGTGTACCATCTCTACAAAAGAACTACCCATACATAATATTTTTATGAATAGTCTGGAGTTTTGTGGGGGTACTTTATAGGTTTAAGACTGTAAAAATGTCAATTTGAGTTTTCTCCCAGTTTTATCAATATAAATAAGATTATATATGTATGTTTTGTTTTATAACTTAAAAGTGATACACAACTGTTTTACAAATAATATTTTTAAAATATTAGAAAACAAAAAGTTGAGTTTTAATTGCAGTTCACATTTTAGAGAAGTTTTTTCTGTCTTAGATTTTCATATGATCTTTTAAGTATAATTGCAGAAGTAAAACATTTTTGTAAGTCACTTTTTAAAGTGAAGTAAATGGAAAGACTCACCTGTGCCACTTCCCAGAAGTCTTAATAACTGCTTTCATTGTTTATATATGATGACTTCCAATAAATTTGACTCATGGCAGTATGGAGCCAGCAGCTGTAACTAACTTACTTAATAGATATTAGTCAGACTTCTTTATAACTATCATTTGATTTGTGATAGGAGTAACAAGTTAAGAAAAGTTTTATTCTTGTTAAAATATCGTCATTTTATGACTTACTTTAATGCAGTATGTAATCATTCTTTGGGTCCTCAGTTGGATATTTTAGTCTCACTATGGCCTGTGCCTTTGGCTCTTGGTACTTATACTTGTTAGCCTTGGCCAATATAGAGTAGATTTGTAGGGGATTCCCTATGTAATAACTTATGGATTTTTGTCCCAGTTGCTTTTTCACTAAAATGTTTATTACTTTTAGTTTGCAAACACAAATATGGAATTATGCTATCATTTGTACCATCTTGTTGTATAACTTTATAGTATGAATATTATGTGGGTCCATAAAGTTAACACATTTAAATCTAGTCAAGGTTTAGGATATTTTTCCTTAATTATACTATTTAAGGTCCCAGGCCCGTAGTATTGAGAGTTGACTAAATAAATGCCAGATGTTAGGTTGGCAGCCAAGTGCATCTTTCTTACCTTCTTAATTGATACAAAAAGATATACTTACATTTATGTATATCAAATGTTCATAGTGAGATAGGCTTAGTTTGCATGTAGACATACAAATAGCTGGTTATCTATTAAAATAGAGAGGTACTCAGTTAAGAAATATGACTTGGATATCTGTAGTTTGGCCAGGTACAGTGCTAAGCAGTGAGATTAAAAAGAGGAATAAGAATTCTTTCCCTTGACTGCAGTCAATTTTTATTCTTTTTTGTTTTTTAGATAGAGTTAAATATTGGGGAAAGCATAGCATAGGAAATTTCGAGGAAGTAGAGAAAGGAAAGGGAAGTAGTTAAGAATGGTAGTTAAGGGGTTGGGGATTTAGCTCAGCGGCATAAGCACCTGCCTTGCAAGTAGGCAGTTGTGAGTTTGATCCCCGGTACTGATAAAAAGGAAAAAGACAAAAAAAAAAAAAGAATGGTAGTTAATTAAAATTTGAAGTAATGAGTAGGAATCAGATGAGGAATAGATAAGTTAGAAGAGTCCGTTGATTTCCACTGTCTAAAGCTATTGTAGGCCATGTAACTTGGCATAGGTATAAACCTAATAGATACGAAACACGTTCTGCTAAGTGAGGTTCTTAAATTGAGGACTTTTCTGGTGAAGTATATCTAGGACCTTGTTTTGACCACTAATATTGACCATTAAAGTAGAGTCTGTTCTATAGACAAGAGACATGAAAGAATACGGAAAGTAACAGGCAGAGCCTGCCTAGTAGCTTCTGGTTATGTAGAAGATGAATAACACTCAGTATGGCATCACCTCTACTGGTTTTGCAAGATTTCATTTGATAATCTAAATGCATTTGATCATTCTGGGAAAAATGCCTAAAGGTTTTTTTATTTGTTTGTTTGTTTGTTTTGTGGCAGTAATGAGGACTGAACCCAGAAAGTGCTAAACTATATCACAGCTTTTTATCTTTTATTTTGAAACAAGGTATTGCTAAATTGTCCAGGCTGGGCTTAACCTTGTGATTCTCCTGCCTCAGTTCTGAGTCACTAGGATGAAAATTGTGCACTGCCCCCATTACCACCCGTAAGTGCAGTGTTTTTAAAATTTCAGGTAATGCTAGACCAGTAGATACCAGTTGTTTTGCCAGATGTAGAGTGGCAGTGAACTTGATTTGGAGGCCAGTTGTTTGCTTCCAATTTCCAACATTTTCTGGTATTCACGTGTCACAGGATTTTTTCTTGCTTTTGATTATATTTCCCTTTTCCCATTCATATAATTCTTAACTACCATATGTGTCTGTTTTTAAACAAGCATCATTTTTGAAATATAGGGTAGATTGTGTTCACCTTCTGCTGTACTAAATTATCCTTACTTATAAGAATTTAGATTCATTTACTTAAAAATCAAGAACTGGAAATGAGTTCAGTAGAAATTTAACATAGCAGGGGCTGGGGATTTAGCTCAGCAGCATAAGCGCCTGCCTTGCAAGCGCATGGTCGTGAGTTCGATCCCTGGTACCGGTAAAAAAAAAAAAAAAAAAAGTTTAACATCGCTTGGCCATTTTGTATTTGCTGAAATCAAATTACATTCAACTTCAAAGTAACAGATAAGAGGGAGTTTACATGTTAGGAATTTTAAGTGTTTATGTGATATACATGAACTATTACCTCTTTCTACTTTGTGGAAAAACTGCTTTACTGCGTTTACCTCAACCCCCCAATTTATCATGGTATAACTGACAAAGATTGCATATATTCATTTTATACACCTGATGTTTTGATATATATACTGCTTTGTTTATTATTGCATGTTACTAAGCATCAGTAATATTTTTATTACTTTTTGTTTTTTACATTAGAAACAGTACATATATATTGGTCATTTTCTTGTTAACACTATAATGTTTTCTGTTGTTGTCTGTTTTGTTTTCTTTTACTAGTTTCTCAAACAATTAGGTCTACATCCTAACTGGCAGTTTGTTGATGTATATGGGATGGATCCTGAGCTCCTTAGCATGGTACCAAGACCAGTCTGTGCAGTGTTACTTCTTTTCCCTATTACAGAAAAGGTAATTGTTAAGTAAAATTTAACTTTCTGGTAAATACAAAGTTTGTTGTTATTGTTGAGTTTAAAACACAATTTTTAAGAACAGGTAGTACCTTATTACATAAAATTAGACAATCTAGGAACCAAGAAAATGTTAAATTTTTATTAAAGAAATTGATATTTAGATTTTTATTTATAATTGACAGTAAAGCCATAAATTACTCTTCTAATGTCAGATTGTTTCTTTTTTTAACAAACTATAGTTAGTTTGGGGCTGGGGATTTAGCTCAGCGGCATAAGCGCCTGCCTTGCAAGCAGGCATTCGTGAGTTCGATCCCTGGTACCGGTAAAAACGAAAAAGACAAAAAAAAAAAAAAAAAACCTATAGTTAGTTTGGGCTAGAGTTACAACAAAGTATATATATATATGTGTGTGTGTGTGTGTGTGTGTGTGTGTGTGGTGTATGTGTGTGTATATACACTTTGGAAATTGTAAGTATTAAAATGATCTTAAATTTGTATTGTAGGTATATCAACAAAAATGTCAAAGTTTTCAAAACTGTACTTTATGAAATATATTTATAAAAATCTGCTTTTTATTGATAGAAGGTAGGAAAACTGATGCCATGTGTTACATTGTTTTCAAAATAAACTTGACTTGAGTAAGCATCATTAAATTTAACTACATTTTGGCAGATTTAGGATATGTTGGGGATAATAAATAGCTATCCTTACATCCCTACATTAAATATTAGTCTTTGCTTCGAGAATGATTGTGTGTGCACGTGGGTGTGAATGTGTATAATGGAGTGAGGACTGTAAAGTGCACTTTTAAACTGCTTTTGAGTCTCCTGATTTTTCTTTTTAAATTTAGAAACAGTAATTAATATTAGTTCAGAGTTTGTAAAGACTGGAGAATAAATAATAAATGCTTGGAAAGATATGGGAGAAATGAGGTGCTGATGACTTAATGTTGCATATTCAAGGAGTCTTATTCTTCTGGAACAAATGGAACCAAATCTTGTAGGAATTAAGGATTAGGCTTGTTCAGACCTAGAAATTCTAGGGTCATTTTCATTGTGCCATAAACTAATTAAACTAAGTTGAAGATAAATAACATTGAAAAATTGTCTCTTCAACTTAAGGATTCTAAGAAACAAAAAAAAATTACATTTCTTCATATTTGTTATTTGTTACAGTCATAGACATTTTAGAGTTTTTCTTAATAATTATTTAGCATTTGACCAAACTATTTTAATGGTGAAGTTGTGATTATTTAAAAACAAAAACTTTAGTTTATTCTTATTTCAGTATTATTTTTTACGTTTTTAATTATGACAATAAGCCAGTAGGTAACTATCCCAAGATTCCAGTTGTAAACAGTGGTAAATAATTGAAAGGGAGAAAAAATCAGTTGCTTACAGCTTAGGCTTTCTTACCCAATGTGATATGTGTGCAACATGATCTATATCTGAATTGGAAATTTCTCCATCTAGTGATTTTCCTGACCTGTCCCATCCTACTAGAGGATTGACTTAGGGGCACTCTGCCACTGAGTTACATCTCCAGCATCTGGGTGGCAGGGAGAGTGGGCAATGTTTCACTAAGTTACCCATGCTAAGTGTGAACATGTGATCCTCTTAACTCAATTCTCAGGTGACTGGGATTGTAGGCATGTGTCACCATGCCCAGCATGACTGACTTTTTTTTGGTTAAAAAAAAAAATTAGATGTTTGGGCCAGGGATTTAGTTTAGTGGCACAAGCACCTGCCTGGCAAGTACAAAGTTGTGAGTTCGATCCTTGATATTCCATCCCCCAAATTAGATTTCTATCTCCTTCATTTAGTCAGTCATCCTTGTTTACAATGCGTATAATCATCAATAGGAATTCTCTTAACCTTAACCCATCAAAACTGAAAAAACCTGTTGCCTTATTGCTAGCCAGAATACAATTCTAAAGTAGGTACTTATACCTACATAAGTGGAGAATTTATATTACATGTAAGCATAAATACTTATACATATATTTATACTCATTTATAAGTTCTACTTTGAAGTTAATTTTTTGTGGGTTCCATTAATCAAACTTAGGACCTTGTGCTTTCCAGGCAGACACTGTGCCACTAAGCTATATCCCCAGCTCTAATTTTAAAGTTTGATGTGGTGTTGTGAATGGTTTAAACATACTAAGAGCAAAGGGACTATCACAGATTCTTCAATACCCTTTCAGTGAAGTCAGTTATGGTATTAGTATTTCAAGTATGTTCCTTGTAATAGCCTCCCTGGCTGTTGAAATTGTAGATGTGGGTGCTGCCATTTCTGGCGTTGAGTCCTTTTTAATATGCTGTTTTATATGTCTTATATACCTGTGTCATATTAGACTATTGACTTTTTTTTTAATAGTATGAAGTATTCAGAACAGAAGAGGAGGAAAAAATAAAATCCCAGGGACAGGATGTTACATCATCAGTGTATTTCATGAAGCAAACCATCAGCAATGCCTGTGGAACAATTGGACTGATCCATGCTATTGCGAACAATAAAGACAAAATGCACTTTGGTAAATGTTTCCTTATTACTGTTTTTTCCCCCTTAACATGTTAACTACATTGAACGGTAGAGGGTGCTCTAATCCTTTTTTCAACCTATAAAATAAAGCATTTCCTTCCCATCATCTTCTTTTGTAATCTGCCTTTCTTCTGAGCTGCCTTTCCAGTCCTGTTTTTCTGTTTTATTTTAGACAAGATTATGTGCATTCAAGGTGGTATGTCATATACTTTATATTTTATTTTAAATATAACATCCATTCCATTCCTGTTTATGGTTGATAAACAAGATCACAAAATGAACATATAATTTAAGCTCTATCATTTATATCAAGATATATTCCTAGTTTATAAGTGATAGGATTTTCTCCAAAGAGCAAGTAGCATACTTGTATTATTTTTACTTGTCAGTTTCTATGATAGCATGCTGTTTTAATTATATCTCTTGATATTCTCAGAATCTGGATCAACCTTGAAAAAATTCCTGGAGGAATCTGTGTCAATGAGCCCTGAAGAGCGAGCCAGATACTTGGAGAACTATGACGTCGGTACCTCCTTTTCTAATCAAATTATAAGGAAAATTTTGTGTATTGTAGAGTCTTTTGTGGGGTGGGAGTCTTGAAACTGTGGTTTTGAGAAATTAGATTTTTCCTTATCAGATAAAAAAGATATTTTCTACCTTTCAGTTAACTGAAGTAGATGTAAATGTTGACAAATTGCTACTTCTTTTCTCTGTCCAAAGCTGAATGAGCTAATAAAAAACTTGCAAATTAAGAAAATACGTTATGATACACTATTCCTTACCTCTCATTCCCTATCATAAATATATGCCTGGCATGGCAATATCCTATGTGTTTTTCACTGGGAATTTGAAAGAAGACTAAAAATAAAAGACCCCCCTCCTCAAAAAAACCCAAAGGACTAAAGGCAACCTTAAACCATACTCTTATTTCAAGAGTAATAGTCAGATCATATAATTTAGTTTTAAATAGTTGCATTTCTATCGAGCTGTTTGAAAAAAAAATTTTAAATCTACTATCTTAAAAATTGATTCTTTGGGCTGGGGATTTAGCCCACCGGTGCCTGGCAAGCACAAGATCATGAGTTCAAGCCCCACTACCAAAAAAAAATTGATTCTTTGTCAGGCAAGGTGGCACATGCTTGTAATTCCAGCACTCATGAGGCTGAGGCAGGAGGATCATTGTGAGTTCAAGACCATCCTAGGCTTCATAGTGACTCCTGACCTATACAGTAAGACCTTGTCTCAAAAAAAAATTCTTTTTTTGTCTTTTGTTAACATTTTATAAAATTTATAAATTCTTTGAAATTATAGTCCACATATAAATTATTTGGCTAAAACAATGCTTTAGGCAGAATTTATGTCTTATAAATGATCATGTTGTTTAGCATTCCATTATGCTTTGATTATTTCAAATTAAAAACTGTAAATTTCATAAAACACCTTTATTTTATGTTATAAAAAAGCAATATGAAAATTATCAGTGATTCTAACAATGAGGAGATAGCTACCATTAATACTTTATGGGGTATGTATATATCTATACATAATATTTTAAAATAAAAATTCGATCATACTGTAATACTGTTTTATAACTTGTTTTTTTCAGGAGCATATGTTTATAATAAGTAATATGTTTGCTTATCACAAATATTTTTTTTTTTAAGTTTTTTTTTTGGTCTTTTTTGTTTTTATCGGTACCAGGGATTGAACTCACGACTGCCTGCTTGCAAGGCAGGCGCTTATGCCGCTGAGCTAAATCCTCAGCCCCCACTTATCACAAATATTAGTTACGTGCCAATAACTATGTTTGACATTATCATTTGATGACTACAAGTTTTCCATTAGATACTGTTTTATTTAATCAAAAAAGTATTACTAGAAATTTAATACCTTTCACTTTTCAGTATTTAAAAAATACTGCAGTATGCATAATTAACTAAATGTTTGCAAATATCCTTAATTATATATAATTGTGAATAATTAAAATAGATGTAAACTCTTAGCAGAGAAATTGCTGGATCAAGCAGTTGCATGTCTTTAAAGCTTTGATACTTATTGCTAAATAGCAATTCATAATTCATAATAGCAATTCATAAATACAATTCATAATTGTACTTTCACCTGTAATTTACCTTTAGGTCCATTTGTCTTCATCTTTGCTCTAATGGGTATTATAAGAGAGCTGTTTGGGTTTTTTTTAATGTTTAGGAAACAAAAATTCTCTAGCTTCTGATCAGTGCATACTTTTTGCTCTACAATACTAAAATTTCCTACTAAAAATGTATGAATAAGGGATAAATACAGCCAGAGCTGCAAAGCATCATGGAACTTGGAGAAACAGATGAGACAAGCTTCTCAGACTCTATCTGTGGGATGCTCACTTTATTGTATTCTCAAGTGAATAAAGTGTTGTTAATTCTAGTGACTAAGTTAAATGACCTCTAATATTACAATGTTATAAGTAGGTATTTCCCAGTTTTCAGAGATTTATAGCTTAGAAAGTACAGCAGTTCATTTGGTTATATAGGTAGCATTCTTCTATACCTAGTATTAAATTATTCCTAAATTTACTCCATTTTTTTATTAATAAGTCTTTAGATGTTAAAATTTAGCTTTTTTTGTTATTTTCATTTAAAAAGTTGGATATGGTCATTTTTTTGCTATAAATACCTTGTATTATTTTACAGGCTATTCGAGTTACTCATGAGACCAGTGCCCATGAAGGTCAGACTGAGGTATTTCACATTTAAAAAATTTTTTTCTTGCAATATGTAAATTTAAGTAGTATTATTAGGGCATGTATTTTTACAAAATTACTTGATCATTTTTCCTTAGAGAATTTACTTATTAAAAAGCAGTCACATAATAGTAGCTAAAGAAATGCTTGGACAAGCTTTTACCATGCTACTTTGGTATGTGTCTTAGTTTAATCCTTTAGACAGGAATTTGCTCTTGCTTTGGCTAGCAGCCTCCTCCTTCCTTTGCCTTGCATGATTTTGAGGAAAAAAATACCTGTACATTTAGACAAACTCTGTGATGCTCTTTACACTTTTAGACTGTTCTTCCACTTTACTTTTCCTTTCTGCTTGCCTCCTTTTTAATTGTGTGGGTTTTTCTCATTCTTTCTTTCCATTTCTTCTTTTCTTTAACCTGCACTGTACCATTCTTGAAGGAATTTTTTCAGAAAATATTTTAGTCAAAATGAATAGAATTAAAACTATTTGGTGTATTTATAGCACATTTAAGTGTTGATAGAAGAGAATTCTACACACTTTCTCATGTGCAGGGTAACATTGCCTTTTTGCGTTAAACATACTTGAAATGTTACCTGATTTTAAAACAATGATTTTAAATATATTATATTCAAGGAATACTTTTTAAGGAGAAAATAGTTTGATGCTTTGATATAAATAGTTTTTCTTAGATCAAGGTAGATAACTGGAAGTTTATAAAATCATTTAGGAATCAAAATGTTAGTTCTCCCAATGATTACATCAAACTTTCTTGCTGGGTCTCAAGCACTGCCTTCTTTTCTTTTTTTGGGGGGTGGTTGGGGGGGAGTATACTGGGGATTGAACACATGACCTTGCACTTACCAGGGAAGCACTTGAGCCACAGAGCTAAATCCCCAGCCCCGAGCACTACTTTCCAAGGTGTGGAATACCGTTTTTTACTAAGTTTACACCTGCAAACACACATAAGTGGGAGGTTGGAAATTAATGAAATACTTTTTTGTGTGTTGCCTTTTGTGATTCTAAAGTCAGTTTGGTTTGAAAATTTACGTTAAAATTTTATGATAAGGAATCAGTATAAGATTATTATAAGACATAAAATACTATAATAAAGCAGTTAAATGCTTTACATATACTCATTTCAGAAATTTATCTTTATACCTTTCTTTGCCTTGTACTAGGAGCGTTGCCCAAATTTTGGCTTTAACTGCCTCTTTTTGGTGATGTTCATGTTAACAATTTAAACTTTTTTATTGTTCACGATCTTGAATGCTCCTTAGACGTCACCTGAATACTCACCAACATTTTAGAATGCAGTTGTTCATATTTGAGCTTATCTCTGTTGTAAGCCTCTTGGTGCTATTATTTTTTTCTTTTTCTTATATCCATTTTGCCTATATAGCTGATCAAATACAAAATTTATTTCAACTTCTGATTTGTAAGGTCAGCTTCATATGTAGATTCTTAATCTTGATTCTAATTCTCATCCATTTTTAACTAATAAGATTAGATTACCTTTCTTAAAATGAAACCCAAACTAATTGGTTACTCAAATTTTTTAGGGCTTTCTGAATGTAGTGATTCATAGGGTAGATGGAGTAGCAGTAACGATTTTTGGTAGACTTTTTCAAAATGTGCTCACCCAAAAGTTAACTCTTTTGTTTCTTTCATCTTACAGTAAGAATTACTAATAGAATAAACCATTTTTTGATATAGCTCTAAAAAGGTAGTATTGGATTGAAAAAAGTGTTTGAATATCATTCTTCAAGCCTGTGCTCAATTTCAGCCTCTTCAGTTTAGTTGCCTTCAAGATTCTCCTTGCTGTGGTCTTTCTTTTTGCTCTGTAAATATTTCTCTAGAAATATCCCTTATTTTACTATTGCTCTTCTTTATTTCTACAGTTCCCTCTTTCTGAACATATTTCTTTGCTCAATCTCTGCATTCTTCAGAACTCATTATGTACATGCACTCTCAGTACATGCACACATGTACTAACAGAAAAGTCAGCCTGAGAATTACCTTCTACATGAAGTAATTATCAGACTTGGATATATTTTATCTCATATGAACTTTTTATGTAACTCCTCCATCTATTTGTATTTTAGCTGTTACTTTCATATTCTTACATATCTCTTTTACCTATTTTTTTTCACAAATTAGCAGCCCTGAAAGTAAGATATATTTTAAAATTGATTTGCCTGCTATTATTCCTGTCACAGTGGCACATAAAATGATGATTCTTTTCATGAATAGTGTTATAACTTAATTAAATATGGCATCATATGATATTATATCTTCTTATTGTTGTTAACTTGGAATTGGTGTCTAATTCATTTGTACATACTCTGCATTATCCAGTACCATTCCTTTCATATAGGCACAATACATATTTAGTCACCAAAATTAGGTCAAAATCACATTCCCAGTTGTGTAAGAAATTTTTTAGAAAGTTCCAAATCTTAGTTTCACTATAGTCCCCTGAATAAATAAAACATATTTCTTAGCTTTTGTTTCTCAATAGGATACTGTTAACATTTTGGTGCAGTTTTTCATTGTGTAGAACTGATTTGTGATTCCAAGATGACTCTGATGGCATTCCTAACTATATGTTAGCGACTTCTAGTTACTGAAGAAAAGCCCACAGAATGTATTTTCAAATCTATTAACCAGCTCAAACATCATTCTCAAGGACTGTTTTTCAGATCACCTTATTTCAGGTTCATTTGTTCTTTGTGACCTTAAGAGTCTTTGATATATTATTGTCATTGCTTTTTATATCACAGCATCTTGATTTTTGTCAGTACCTGCAAAATACTGGGTCAGTCTATTTGGGCTGCCATCACAAAGCACTACTGTGACTTAAATAATAGAAATTTACTTTCTCACAACTATGGAAGGTAGAAGTCAGGGTGACAGTGGGTTGGTTTCTAGTAAGGCGTATTTTCTTGGCTGGCAGACAGCCATTCTTACCATTTCCTTATGTGCTTTTTTCTGTGTGTGTGTGTGTGTGTGTGTGTGTGTGTGTGTGTGTGTGTGTGTGTGTGTGTGGAGAGAGACAGACGGATAGACATGAGGCTGGTCTCTTTCTCTCCTTAAGGGAAATCCAGTCCTATTGGATTAGGGCCCTTTCCTCTATGACCTATTTCAAATACATTCACAGTGGAGATTAGGAACTCAATATAGGAATTTTAGATAGTTCAGTTCATAATACTGTCTTTGTATTTCTTTACAAGGCAGTAGCCTTCTGGGTGTATCCCTCTTCTTTGTGGAGTTGGCACTTTCTTGAATCTTTCTTCTTGTTATAAAATTACTTGTGAAATTGTCTCACCTTAGAAGTCATTTTTTGGGGAAGCCTGTTAACATCTTCAGTTCACCTTCTTTATTTTCTATCATAAAACCATATTTTTCTTCCTAATCTTTTAAAATAATTATAAGATTCTTTTTTTGGTTATTCTGATGTGTAGTGTATAAGACTCAGGAAACATGGACCCTGTTTGTCAGGTTCACTTTGAATCCCGAGGACTGTCTTGGACATAGGCAGGCATCAGTAAGAAACTACAGAGTGTGGGGATAAGAGTATAGGATGTAGGGTTTTCACTTGTTACCTTAGACAAAGTATTTTGCTTAGTGTAAGACAGAGAATATGATTCACCTAATGGGATTGCTATGAGGGTTAGTGAACTGCTTAAAGTAATGTCTGCATTTTTAATGGGCATTCAGTATTGTGCTAATTTTATTTTACAAGTTGTTAAGTAAAATAAATTTGAATGGCAGATAAGAAGGGAGGCATGGATTTTATAAACAGCAGCGAGCCCCACCAGAGATGGTGTGTTTAGCTTTAGCATATTGACTCTAAGGTGAGACTCTGAGGTTATCTCTCTGGGAGTGTAAAGTTCAGGGGGATCTGTGTCGTGTTTTAGTAGTACTTTTGTTTTTAGTAGTTTGTGTTCAGTACAGGGAGAACAGTGGTGAGCCAGCAATAAATACCAACAGTAAATCCCTGGGCCTTCTAGGTGTTGAAGAAATGGTAAAGGAAGAATAGGAGCCAGTAATAATACAGTATGGTAGAAATTGCAGTCATCACTGACATCATTGGTTTTCTGTCAACCTTTTCTTTTTTTTTTTTTTTTCTTTTTTTGGTCTTTTTCATTTTTATCGGTACCAGGGATCGAACTCACGACTGCCTGCTTCAAGGCAGGCGCTTACGCCGCTGAGCTAAATCCCCAGCCCCTCTGTCAACCTTTTCATGAAAATGGAGGAGGTAGGAACCTTACTGCTTGCTGAGATTTGTAGATTAAATGAAAAATCCATAATTTGAACCATCAAAACACAGTATTTTTTTCAGAAGATTGGCAGTGGTGTGCTGCTAAAAGAGACCTGTTTGCTTATGTGTTTTTTCTCATTGCATCATCTCACCATCACCGTCTAGCACACATTGGCTAATGCAGAAATTTAAACAGTAGTCCCACCTGACTTACGCTTCATTAACTTAGAGTGAAAGGTATTGCTTTTATTTTTCAGTTAAGCTTAAAAAAATGAAAGAACACAATGAGATGTAAAGAAATAATGAGAAAATCACAGTGGAGGAGAGTTCTTTTTTTTCTTTGATTTTTACTTGATACAAGCATCATTTTATACTCTGTTCTAGATAGAATAAAAGAATACCACTGGATTTGTTTCTCCTTAATAATTCTGCTAAAGTGGTTGATATTACATATTTAATTCCTATGGCAACCTTATGAAGTGTAGGTATTATTACTATTGTTTGTCTTTTACTAAAGAATTTGAGGTCCAGAAAGGTTCAGCTGCTTACCCCAAGGACACATACCTGCTGAGTGGCAGTTAGTTTGGTTTTTTTTTTTTTTTTTTGTCTTTTTCCTTTTTATCGGTACCGGGGATCGAACTCACAACTGCCTGCTTGTAAGGCAGGCGCTTATTCCGCTGAGCTAAATCCCCAGCCCCTGGCAGTTAGTTTTTGAGCTCAAACATTCTGGCTGCAGAGT